AAGAAAATAGGGATTTTCATCTGGGCTGAGGAAATATATCCACACGACTGATTCTAAACATATAGGACTTTCATGTAAAAAATAAGAACAGGCAGTCAACAATCATGAAACAGCCAAGGAAAACCAGCAGAAGACTCATCAAATTCTATAAGTGAATGATCAACCTCCTGATGAGCAGGAGAGGAAAGAACTTTGAAATGCAATAGTTTGGCCTACTCAGAGGAATTCAAGAATTTATCACATCTACAGAAATAAAAAGCATTCTATAAAAGAAACAGAATTCTTGGAAATTAAAAGCATGATTTCCCAAATTAAAAAGAAAATCAACAGGTGGAAGAGCAGAGTAGGTACAGATGAAGATCACATTCGTGAACAGGAAGATCGAGTGAGGGTAGTCTCCACATTCAGTGAATAAAGGCAAAGAAGGGAATAAGATAAATATTGAATCAGGAAGACTAGAGGCAAATTTTTAGGAACTGCCACTCATAAGTTCCAGAAGTAATAAATAGAAAGAATTGAGAGAATGAAATTATCAAAGAGCCAAAAGGGGGGAAAGTCTCTGCTGAAGAAAAGCTCAAATCTACAAACTCAAAGGGACCAATGAGTGCTGGGCAAGAATAATGAAAAACTATATTCGCATGAAATTTCTGAATTCCAAGGATAAAGAGAAAATCCCCAAAGCTTGGTGTGGGAAGCACAGGACACACATCACTGGAAAGGAATTTATAACCAAATGAGCCTGTGATCCGTATCTGTAACACAAAATCCAGAAAGAAAATTATTTTGGACCCAGAAATCTAGACTCCATTAACCTACCCTTTAATTATTTTAAATTCAGAATTCTATACTCAATTAATCTACAAGTAAATTATGAGAGCAAATTCAAGATATATTTGGACATGCAAAATTTGAAAGTTTACCATCTGGACATACTTTCTGAAAGAGATACTCAAAGATGTACCAGAAAAAGATGAAGAAAGAGGTAGAGGGGAAAGAGAACACACACACACACACACACACACACACACACACACACACACACACACACACAACACCAGCAGCAAGCAAAGAAACCAATACAACCTATAGCTAAGTTTCATTGTAAAATAACTGAATAAAGTATATTTTGAAGATTGCACTATTTGCCAAGGTCAATAATATGGGTCTTCACTGTCAGCTAGTATGTACCAAGGAAAGTCTAGGTGAATCAGCCTTCACAGCTGCCGTGGGGTTCCTCAGCAATTGTGCTGGTCATTGCTGGGTGTGCCCCATTTCTCCTCGGGCCTGTGGGTAGCTGCAAGGGTCCTTGAGTTGTTTGTGGGCCCGGAAATGGGCTGTCAGCAAGGCTTCCTTTTAGAGTTTGTGGAACAAACAGACCAACAGCTGAGGTTTCCTCAAGTGAGTCAAGTGACTCTGTGTGTGTGTGTGTGTGTGTGTGTGTGTGACAAATTGGGTGACAGAGCCCTAGTCTCACTTGGTGTTCCCACCTCCTGAGGTAAGGGGGAGGACTGGTGAGTACTATGCCAGCTGCTCCCTGAACCTGAGTCTGTGGGAGTGTCTGAAATTTGCTCCCAACTCCAAATCTTCTGTTCTTCCAGCTTCTGCTGGTGGGAGCTGAGGGAGTCTGTGAGGAGGGATGGCATTACTGAGGAAGTGGGGAGGGCCAGGGGTCTTCCCTGCTCTACTGAGCTGCCACTTCCCATCCACATTTGTTTTGCTTTGCTGAGAACACTGGTTTTGGGTGGGCAAAATGTTGATAGAACCGCTTGTAGCACAGCCACGTGCAGGGGCCGAGAATGTATTTGCTACCCAAGTTCTGCAAACGAACTCCAGGCAGGGTGCTTGGTTTGTGTCTTCGGGAGAGGCATGTTAGAAAAGGCCAAGCAATCCTACCGTTTCTCACATGTCTGGGAGTCACTGAGCATCTAAGAGTGAGAAGCGTGTCTTCACTTGACTTAGAGACAGTCTTCAGTGGGCACTTCTCTGTGGAGATGGGTCCCCAGGTCAGTGTGGATAAAGCTGCTTGAGATGAAGACTCCATTGTGGAAGGGCCAGTGTGGTCCTTTCATGTCAACCGGGGAACAGGTGAGTGTGAGCATGGAGTGGGATATTACACAGAGAGACTCACTTTTATCTATCAAACACACAGTTTTTCAACCAACATAATTCAAAGGCTTCAAACATTTTTCCCCCAACTTTAAAACATTTTTTATTATTTTTTCAAGGGTTTCAAACATTTAAATCATTCCTCTTAATGCAAACTTCAAGCCAAGCATCCAATACCAGAGCATATCAAACTCATTACAATGAGATAAGCAAGCCATTCTTGAAATACACACATATGAGCAATTTATTTACAATTTGTAAGCCTGCTAGGTAGTATTCCCAAGCCATCCTCTGGGAAAAGCTGTACATCATTTCTGGTCAGGAGTGCCATGACCTGCTAGGGATTTTTTTCAGGAAAGTTCCAGGATATTTGGTATCCAGCTCTCTTGTTCCTTTTTACTTCTGGCCTTATACCCACATGGAAACCCACTGGGCAAACCCCACACTTTATACTGTAAGCAGACCGAGAAGGGCAGCCTGGGGGAAAGCCTGGGGATACTGGACTAGTGTTTACCTTCCTTTTGCCTGTCCTCTCCCTCCCCACCCCTGGTTGCCTCTCAGCCCACAGGGGCTCTCTTAGAATCTCACCTCTTAGTCTCAGGGGTTGGGGGATGGGGCTTTCCAAGGGAACTTTCCTTGTAATTCTGATTGGCCAGGATCCAAAGTTGAGTTGGAAAGTCCTATATATTAGTGCCAGTGTGGTAAAATAAAAGGAAAAATTAGCACCCAACATTTTTTTGTTATTTATTTATTTTTTTACCATTTAACCATTTTTAAGTGTACAGTTTAGTGGCATTAAGTAAAATCACATTATTTTGCAGCCATCAACACTATCCATCCACAGAAATCTTTTCATCTGGCAAAACTGAAACTCTCTACCCATTCCCCTCTCTCCCCAGCCCCTGGCAACCATTCTTCTACATTCTGTCTATGAATTTGACTACTCTAAATACCGCAAATGAGTATAATCATTCATATATATATATATATATATATATATATATATGTTCAGTCAGGAATGATAAAGTTAGCTAATAGATAAAAATTGATTAACTGGTTAATATCATATAGGACAAAATCTAATTATTAGGTTTATCTTATTTTCACCTGGCAGAAATAATTTATATCTCTATTTGAAAAGATGCATTTGCATTACTATGGACAAGAATCTTTTGCATTATCATCAACTTTCTGCACGTTAACTCTACCTTACAGAGTTATAAAGCAGCCTCACCCATAGAAAGTCCATCAAAGGCACACAACCCTAAAGAATCAGATAATCTCCGGGAAGGCTACGAGACAACACCCAGCACCCCCCTGGAAAGACATGCAAACCATCTCTTTTGCCCATGGCCATTTCTAAGTTTTGGACAATTTTTCCTAACATCACCACCAATGAACACACTCACTCAAAAATACATTTAAATTTATTTATTCTGCAGGAGGGCATGGCAGAAAAGAAGAGATATAGGTTGGTTTACAAATTTATTAAATGAATGTATTCTTTTGTTGTTGTTGAAAAAAAATTACATGATTTCTAAGTTCACGGAGAACTGAGTTTAACAAAAAAATTGTCTAACAGGAGACAGGCTACCATACCCGCACTGTCCGTCTCTTACTCTTCCAAGCAGGCTCTTATCTTCGAGGAACAAAAAAAATAATTAATAAGAAAGCCTGCTACAAAGGAGGCCAGGAAGTTTATTTTTAACTACTTCTTTTTAAGGCTGCACAGCAAGTTTAGCCCTTATATGGGTGTGTTCACGGGTGGTTAGTTTGAGATCAGGCTCATGGTAGAGAGAGAAAGCAAGTGAGGATCTGGGTGAAGTAGTGGGGGCCCTTGCTCTTGGAGAGACCCACAGACATCACAAGTTCACAGCCTTCAAACTGGAACTTATTTCTTCTCCCCCTGCGGCCTCTGCCCGCCCCAACTCATAACAACGCCTTTTGGATCTGTCTCAGTGACTCCCACCACCATCAACCCAGTTGCCCAAACCAGAAATCTAGGTGACATCGGTTATGGCTCTTTCCTTCTCCTCCATTTTACTGCTCATAAAATCCAGTGCATTCCTCTCACTACCGCTCTCAGTCGCCACTCCTCTCCATCCTCGTGGCCAGTGCCTGCTCCCGGGGCAAGTCCTCTCCTGCCTGGATTCCTGCGGCCGCGCCAGGCTGCTCGCCCTGCCTCCCCAGCCCCAATCCCAGCCCTCCCAGCGGACTCGGGGAGACTTTCCTGATGCAGTCACTCAGCTTAAAATCGAGTTACAGCTTCTCCGCAACCCCCTTTACTTGGTCTATGAGGTCTTATTTATTTGCATCTTGATGCCTCTCTCCAAGCATCTAGAATACTGTACCCTGTCACCACCTCTGCACATGCCTTTCTCACCTGCTTGGTGTCCGCTCCCACCTCTCTCTCATCCTCGGGGGTTTAGCTGACTTTCCGGAGCAGCAGGACCCCCTGCCGGCCCCTCGCCCACCACAACTCTGTCGCCCAAAGTTTAAGTAAGGTCTTGGCACCTGGTCGCCCGGGCCAGCGACTTCTCGCCCTTCGTTGTGCTTTTGCACCACAAACTCTTGCCCTTGAGCTCCAGCCACTCACCCAGGCCTCCCACTTCCCACAAGATTCCTGCTCCTTCTTCCCTCCAACTCCCTCTGCCATCCCGGGGTGCCTCCCTGAGCCCCCGACCGGCTGGGACGTCAGGGCGCGATGGCCGTTCCCTCTGGCACCGTCGGGACCCTCTGCTCAGCTGGGCCGCTATCTGCCGGGCGGCGGCTCGCACTGTGGGAACCCACGCGCCCCGAGGGCCGGCCCCTGTCTCTGCCCCTGGGTGTCCCCAGGGCCCCGCGCGCCCGGCAGGTGCACGAAGGAGAGAAGGAGCGAGTGAATGACGGAGCGTCCGCGGAGGGCGCCGGCCGGGGCGTCTCCCCGGGACCCCGCGGGCGCTCTCCGCTCCGCAGCGCCGCGCCGGAAGCGGCCGGGCCGGCCCCCTCCCCGCGGCGCCCGCCGCCTTATCTCGGCGCCTCGGGCCCAGGAGGAGACGCGGGCGCCAGGAGGGACGCGGCGGCGGCATGGGCCGGGGGCCCCGGGGCGCGGGCCACCCGCCGCGCCGCCTGCTGTCGCTGCTGCTGCTGCTCGGCCTGGCCCGCGGCGCGACCGGAGCGCGGGGCGCCGACGGTGAGTGCGGACGGGCGCGGGCGCCGCTCGAGGCCCCCGGGGCGCCGGCGGGGCCTCCACGAGGCTGGGCGCGCCCGAGGCGCACTTCCCCGCCCCTGGGCCGCACCCGCGCAGGCTCGGGCGTGGGGCGCAGGTGGGGCTGCCCTGGCCGTTGGGGATCGGGAAGGCGGGGCTCAGAGAAGCAGGAGGGGCTCCCCGCCCCGGCCTTCCCGCCCCATCCCGGAGCCGCCGGGCAGACCTGTTTGGAGACGGCCTTGCCCGCGCCCCCGAGGGATTGAGGGGAGCTGGGGGCTGGGCGGTAGCGGCGCCCCAGGGTGAGCCGCCCGGCCTGGGAGGGCGTTCCCGCTGCACTGTCACGCTGCTGGCTCTGCAGTAGGTTTTGCACAACAATTCTAGAAGCAATTTCTTTCTACCTTTTAATATTTTCACCTAGATGATGCGGTAAGGTGCTCATATGGTGAGAATAAAGTATAAAGTTTACAGGAAGAAAGCATTCATTCATTCATTCAACAGATGGCCTTTGTTTCCCTATAGGGGGTTTGATGAGGTCTTTGTGCTGAACCTCAACGAGTTCATCTCCTGCAGGTGACAGACAAGCAAATAGTCCATTTCCAGGCAATTGGAGTAGTTAGTTCCCCCTCCACCACCACCTTCAAACGCAGTGTTGAGTTCAGACATGTAGGGGAGGGGGCATTTATCCAAACAACTATAAGAGAAGGCAGATGCCATAGGTGCTTTGAGAAGGTGGGGGTGGTCAGAGGAGGGAGAGGTTACTTCTAGCTGAGGAACCGTGGCGTCATGGGTGAGGCGACCCTTTAACCAGACCTACTAGGATTGGTGATACTTGGATAAGGGAAGATGAGAGAAAGGCGCCCCAGCTCATGGCAGAGGCACAGTGAGCACTCCACAAATACGTATAGAACGGTGAATTCCAGACGGAGGGGCAGGGACAGGAAGCAAAAGCAGGGCCCAACAGTTCTGATTGGTTTGCAGGGGATGGCTGGGAAGTGGGATGGGAAAGCAGGTTGGATTGAACCAGAAGGCGGAGTGCCTTAACTGGCCCGCCGCGGCCTTGAGACCTAGTTGTTTCTGGGCAGTGGGAAGCCATTGGAAGTCATTGCAGGTGTCTGTACAGAGAGATATAAAAAGTGGCTATAAGGAAACCCACTAACTTCCTTAATAAAACCAAACACTGATCCTGAAGTGGAAGGAACTTCTATGTAAGGAGAAAGGGGGGTGCTTTGAAGCTCAGACTCCTGTCCCCCCAAATTTTCTTTATTTGGGACTTTTACCATCACTGGTGGGTATTTCTCTTGATGGCTCAACCTTCTGAAGTGGCCATTTTTGTACATCCGGTGCTCTCATAGGCTTTCTAACTTCCTTCCCTAACGTGGTCTCCCATGGCAGTGTGCATAAACGCTTGTAGACCCTTGGAACCTATTTCAGAATGAGCTTTTTTTGTGTGTGTATAATTTTTAATTGAATTTATTGGGGTGACATTAGTTAAAATTATATAGATGTCATACATCATCTATATATTGTATTGTGTGTCCACCACTCCATCCATCACCATTTATCTCTCCTTTACCCTCTTCTACGTCCTTCCATTCCTCCCCCCCCCCCCCCCCCGTTAGAATCTTTGTGTTAAGTCTCTCTAGACTAGCAAACTGTCCAGTATACAGTAGTCTCATCGAATTGTTGGGCTAAGATGGTTGAACAAAGTAACTTTCTCAGGTCATCCAACTGCAAGTACTTAAAGGCTGTGGGATGAATTTGGGGAAATAGAAGTCAGGGTTGCCTGATTGAACCTTCTCTCCTTATGTAGGCATTCTCCCTTCCTTTACAACCTTGGAGAACCTGATTTTATTAAGAGCAGGTTTCTTGATAGTGGACCAAGTGGGGAATGACTGGAGCCATAGAGCCATTGAGGAAGTTGTGGCAGTAGCTGGCCTAGAAATTCTAAGGACTGGCTTCACAGTGGGACAGCAGGAGAAGAGGACTGAATGTAGATGGTCAGGGGGAAGTGGATCCCGAAGGACTTACTAACAGACATGAAGGTACAAGGGAACAGAAGATGAAAGATGACAGTAAGGGTTGCGGGGTGGGTGACTTGGGTCTGTGGTTCTCTAGGAGGAGCAAAAAGATTTGGGAAGAAAGATAACTAGTTGTTTTATTATATACTAGAGGCCCAGTGCACGAAATTCGTGCATGCCAGCCTGATCACCCCTAACTTCCCCCGCTGCTGGCCTGGTCACCCCTAACTGCCTCCCGCTGCCGGCCAGGTCTCCCCCAACTGTCCTCCACTGCAGGCCTGATCACCCCCAACTGCCCTCCCTTTCAGGCCTGGTTCCTCCCAACTGCCCTCCCCTGCTGGCCATCCTTTGTCCACATGGGGGCGGCCATATTGTGTGTTAGAGTCATGGTCAATTTGCATATTACTCTTTTATTAGATAGGATGTGTTTTTTAATATGGCAGTTTATTATCTCACTTAAGTTTGGAAGCTGTGTAGTTCCTGGCTTGATTACGTTAAACGATTAATGACATCATCAGGCTCCTCTAGTTTTCATCTCTGGCTGACTAGTTGTTTTAGATATCCTGGATTGGAGGTGATGTTAGGGCTTTCGGGTTAAATCAGTAGGGAGTTAAGACTGTGACAGGAGTTGTCTGCAAATGATGTAGACTTGATGGTCACTTGGAGCCTGTGGTTAATAAGAGTTAGAGGACCAAGGACAGATTTTTTTGGGAAATCAAATTTAGATGGTAGAAGACTGTAGAGGAGAAAGAGCAGCAGCTATAAAGGTAGGAGGAAGATGGGGTTAGCATAGCATCAAGGAACCTGGGGGGTGGAAAATCCAAGGGGGTGGAGATGGAGAAGAAGAAGGCTTTGGATTTGGTGGCTCAGGTCTGAGGTGAGCCAGCTCCAGCAGAGCAGTGAGGGTGCGAGTCAGAGACAAAGGGCTCTAGAGCAGTGATTTTCAACCCGTGTGCTACAAGACTTTTTAAAAACATGCAATACCTGACTATTTAGTCAGGGGCACTGACCTCTTTCCCCTTAGATTGTCCAATAAAAGAATGACAACGGCCAACACAACAGTAGCCATCTGGTGGGAGTGAATCAAAATTATGCCTAATCTTTTAGGGTCAGATTGGCCAAAAATATATTTTTTGGTGTGCTGCAGAATTTTAGTAATTCGTTTATCTGTGCCATAAGATGAAAAAGGTTGAAAATCCTGCTCTAGAGGGTACAGAGACTTGGCTGCAGAGCGAATGCTCTTTAAAGAAGAGAAGGAAATGGAAGGTAGCCTTTAGTGGGGCTGGCCAGGTCAGTTGAACAATGTTTTTGCGGGGGTTTGAAGGTGGTAAAGCAGACTCAGAACATTTTAGACTTAGGGGCTTTATTTAGTAGAAAGGAAGAAAATAAAGATGCAAAAATAAATGAGATATTTCCTGGAGCAGGTTGATAGGCAAAGTTGGCCTACAAGTGAGAAAGCTTAGTTTCAGGAAGGGGACAGAAGGGGAAGAATGGAGAACTGCTCGTCCCTTCCCCACAGCTGTCTCCTCAGTGAGTCTATTCATATTTTCAAACCAACCCCGCTGTCCTGACTCCCTGGAAGCCCCCTGGTGTTCTATGGTCCCTTTGCAGTACCAGAGACACCATGCCCATGCCTACCCTCGTACCATATTTGTATGGGGCACACACTTCACATACACATTTCTATGGTCCTCTAGATGCTTACACCAGTGTAATTGTTAAGAGCTCCTTGTGAGTAGGGACCGTGGCTTGTGTTAGGAACCTGATATGGAAATAAATGAAGACCACCCAAATAAGAAAAGGCACGGCGATTTCGTCAGAGCTTACTATAGCCGCCATCGCATTTGTCAGAGACTCAAAGGCAGGCAGGGGAGTGTAAAGCTTTCTAGTGCAGTGGTTCTCAACCTTCCTAATGCCGCGACCCTTTAATACAGTTCCTCATGTTGTGGTGACTCCCAATTTCATTGTTACAAATTGAACATAATTAAAGCATAGTGATTAATCACAAAAACAATATGTAATTATATGTGTGTTTTCTGATGGTCTTAGGAGACCCTTGTGAAAGGGTCGTTCGACCCCCAAAGGGGTCGCGACCCACAGGTTGAGAACCACTGTTCTAGTGGAACAAAGGGGACATCTTCAGGTGTGCCCTCGTTGGATGTTGACAGGGGGAAGCTGGAGGCGGCTTATTGCTGAGACAGGCTAGTAAGCCAGAATAGGGAAACTGAGGCAGATAGTTAAACAGCAGGTTGCAGCCGTGTAGTAAATCCCATCTTTCCTAAATTAAAGACACTTAAGAGTAAATGGTTTGCACTTCTCCCCAACCACAGGGTAAATAGCTTAAATCACCCTGCTCAGGGAGGGAGAGAGCAGAAATCCAATTATTGCCATTTGCCAATCACACCCAATGAAGTTAAGAGAATAAATCTCATTTTGGTACATCAGCATAAAACTGATGAATATTCTATTGAGATCCTCCCCTAAAACTTCCCTTAAACTCCAAGCCTTTAAAACCCTCAAAACCAAGGTCCCAGCACATGCTCTCCCTCCCACATCTCCTAAACACTAAAGGACGCCATGAGGCTTGCAACCAGGGCAGCAATGGATGGGGCAGTTTGTCACAAGCAAGCCCCCTGAACCTGTTCCAAGGCCCCCTTTTCTCTGACTTCTTAGTCTGACTTCTCATTTCCCCACCTAGTCCCTCCCGTTATCCTAGCCCTTCCTTGATTCACTGTCCCCAGCTTTAATAAACACCCTCTAAAATCCACCTGGACTTGTGAAAATTTTCCTACACAAAATCAAGAATCCACACCCTACCTGCTGACCCCAGGCAGACCAGCTGAGGGCCAATTCCCCTTTCCAGTAACACTATCAACAGGAGTCCTATATGATTGGTTAGGGGAGCATATTTGGCTTTCCCTGACTGGTCCTAAATTGAAATGCTGGGGCGGGGCAGGGGAGCAAAAA